AGAAGTTAAAAAAGAAAATGCATTCTTGCGTGCTAGACTTGACGACCTCGAAGATCGGTCTCGGCGAGACAATCTAATCTTTCATGGCATAGATGACTCGCCCTCAGAGACCTGGGCCCAGTCTGAGTAAAAAGTACACTCGCTGCTTCCTAATGTCCCTGAGCTGAGCATTTCTAATGAGAGAATCACTCGTGCGCACCGACTTGGGACGTTTTCTCGAAATAAGTGTCGACCAGTAATAGTAAAATTTGTGTCATACAAATCTAAAGAGAGCATCCTCTTAGCAAAAGCTAAATTAAGAACATGGAACGTGTCAGTAAATGAAGACTTCGCACCAGCCACACGTTATGCGCGCAAGAAGTTGTTTGATCTCGCAAAATCTCAGAGTCCCGATAGTATATTTCAGATAAGGTACAACAGGCTTCACGTCAACAAGAAGTGTTACACCTACTGCAGTACGAGTGACGAAGTTTATGAAATTTCTAGTGCTACCAGTGCTACTAATAGAGGTGCCGAGTCACTCCAACCGCAACATGTGCAAGAATCAGCAACGTCATAACTATCGTGCTCTCTTCCATTCAAAGATTCGACGGTGAAAAATCTGTCTGTTTTCTTTACAAATATCCAAAGCGTAATAAATAAACGCGATGAATTGTGCTCCGCTCTTGATTCTGCTACTGCCGACATCATTGTGTTGAGCGAAACATGACTCTTTAGTAAAATACGTAACGATTAACTTTTTTTATGTGATAAGCAGTACAAAGTCTATTGGCATGATAGGGATTCGCGGACGGGCGGAGGCGTGCTAGTTGCAGTTGCTGATTACATTGAGTCATCTCATATTAACTTAGCATCTGGCTTAGAAATTGTATGGGTACGTTTTCAACTAAGTCACAGAAACATTGTTGTCTGTGCATGTTACCGCCCACCTAAGTTTACTATGAATTTTGTGGAGTCATTACATGACTCAATTAGCTGGATTGTATCAAGGTTTCCCAACTCGCAGCTAATTATTTTTGGCGATTTCAACTACTCAAATATTATCTGGTCACAAGATATTCCTATTTGCGTGCCTTATTCTTCTGAAAGCAACTATTTCCTATATCTCTGTGCAGATTTTAATCTTTCGCAATTAGTAACCGAGCCCACGAGAATTACGTCCTCAGCAGCAAACGTTCTTGATCTTATATTAACTACGTCTAAGGACCTCGGAGAGCCGATCTCTTATCTTCCAGGGCTCAGTGACCATTTGGCCTTGCATTTTTTCCTGAAAATTCCCAAGAACAATTCTGTTAAGTGTGTCAAACACATCCGTGATTACGGCAGAGCCGACCTTGAATTCATAAACTGCGAACTATGTACATTCATGGACTCTTTTATGCAGCATTTCTCAGAGCGATCGGTTGAAGGCAATTGGTATCTGTTCAAAGATAAAATTACTTCATTGATCACCCACAACATTCCCTCTCGTGTTGTCAAATCAAACTCGAAATCACCTTGGTATAATACGACTTTAAAAAGGCTGCCTAATAAGAAAAAGCGCTTGTTTCGAACAGCTAAATCACCAATGTCTCCTGATCGCTGGGCCGCGTACCATTCGGCAGTTGAAGTATACAAATTGGCCGTCGCTGAAACTAAAAATAACTTCTTCAGCATCAAATTACCTTCAATGCTCACAAACAATCCAAGGCAGTTTTAGAACTTAGTCAACCCTGCCGACAAACATTTAATACAATTTAAAAATTCAGGCGGAGAGGTGATTTACGGTGAAGATTGCGCTATGACTTTTAACGAATGTTTCATCAGTGTCTTTAGTGTTCTCTTAAGAGCCAACCACCTCATACTACCATCTTCTGATTTTTTGCCCATGTTACCAATTGTGTTTGATCCACCCGGTATTGTTAAAATTATTGAAAACCTCAAGCTGTCGTCAGCATCAGGTGTTGACGAGATAAACGCGAAATTTCTAAAAAAATACCAAACTGTACTCTTCGATCATCTTGTCATCTTTGTTTCAACAATCACTTGACCATGGCGTCTTACCCGAGGGCTGGAAAGTAGGGAAGGTTGTTCCAATCCACAAAGCTGGTGACCGTTTCTCCCCTTTAAATTACACGCCAATATCTCTTACTAGCGTAACCTGCAAAATTATGGAGCACATAATTTCTTCAGAGCTCTCGCGTTTTCTGGAGCGCAACTCCTTCTTTAGCCCTTTTCAATATGGATTCTGCAAACCTTTCTCGTGCGATATTCAGCTCTTGGTTTTCACCCACAACCTCCACTCGGCTCTGGACCATGGATCTCAGACTGACTGCATCTTTCTGGACCTTGCAAAGGCTTTCGATAAGGTGACGCATAAACTACCACTATACAAACTTGGCCTACTCAGTATTGATCCATATATATCTTATCTTGGTTAGAGTGTTTCCTCACTAACAGATCGCAATTTGTAACTGTCAATAACAAAAACTCATCGTCTCTCGTTGAGTCCGGTGTACCACAGGGTTCTGTCCTAGGCCCGCTCTTATTCTTAATAAATATAAATGACCTATCTACTAGGCATTTCCTCCTCCATAAGCGTTTTTATGGATGATTGCGTTGTTTACCGTGAAATTACTAATGACTCTGACGTACACATAATTCAATCTGATTTAAATGCAATTTCTTCCTGGTGTGATGCTTGGCACATGAAACTAAACATTATGAGATGTAAGACAATGAGGATTTCCCGCAAAGCAGCACTCTGTCCTAACTACTTCATATTAAATAACCTCCTTGAAAACGTATCCACTTACAAATATCTAGGTGCTCATATCTCTTCTGACCTATCATGGAAAACTCGCACCGAATATATCGTTAATAACAGTAACCGTATGCTTGGATATTTAAGACGTAACTTTTCTCTAGCTCCATCATCATTAAAATTACTACTTTATAAAACACTGGTGCGACCAAAACTTGAATATGCATGCTCGGTCTGGGATCCCGGTGCAGAAAGCCTCATATCAGCGCTTGAAGGAAATCCAAAACCGGTCCAGCACGTTTTATATTATCAAACTACCATCGTACATCAAGCGTCACATCCATGAAAGCTAGTCTCTCAGTGCCCCTTCTTTCCACTCGTCGCACTATCTCCCGTCTGTTTATTTCTCAAAATTTACTATGCCAATTCACTCTTGAAAGAGCAACTAATCAATGCCCCCATCTACGTATCCTCTCGCCTGGATCGCTGCTGCAAAGTTGGTATACCTACTTCCATCTCAAATTCTTTTTTTTCTTTTTTTTTTTCAAATCTTTCATCCCAAAACATCTCGTGAATGGAACGGCCTTCCCTCACCCATTGCGACCATTGGCGATTTTGATCTCTTTAAAGAAGCACTAACAAGTTACTATTCATGATCTGTGCCGGACTAACCATTTTCAGCGTGTTTGTACTTCCGTTGCCCACCCCCTCTGTAATGCTTTGGTCCTGATTGTATAATAAATAAATAAATAAATAAAATACGGTGGGGTCACCTGCCGTTAATGCAAAAACAAAATGTCTGTTATAGATAACGAGCGGGTCACTCCTGCAGTTGAGTAAGAGTGTCTAATTGTCTGTGCCCTGTACTTGTTTTGTGTCTCTATATGCTCGTATGTTGATGTGTTTTGGTGTGTCAGTGGTGTTGTGTACGTGTGTTTACCGCCATCTGCTCGAGCATGGTGCTTCCAAAAATGCAAGTACATTCTCGGTATTTTCGTAGTTTTCAGCATAGTCAGTAAGTGTGGCAAGCAGCCGCCCAATTTTATTTTAGCTTTGTTTATATGTCCACTTAATATGTAGGGAACTGCAGCCACTATAACCCTCTGCTATAACCTGTAACTATCTTTTAGTTCTTTCGCCGGCTCTGCGAGTAGCCGTTTCCTATGCGGAAAGCCGCGAACTTTGTGCACAGACGAGATGAGCGGGACATCGGAAACGCCAGCCGGGTCATGTCGGAGCGGTTCGTCGTCGCTCACGGCCAAGAGGGAGGAGTTTTCGTAGATCGTTTTCGCCGTCCCGCAACGCTCTGCGCAACCCGCTACAAAACCCGGAACTCTGCAGTCAAGGCCATCGGCGCGCAGGCACAGTTGCGTCTTCTTCGTTGCGGAGGGCTTAGTAGAGGGAAAAGCACGGTCTACGAAAACCTCCTAATAAAGTTTTTATGCCTGTGGTAGCGAAAAACTTTCTTCTTTGGAAATTATCCGGTCTCGGTGAAAATGCTGCCGGCATGAGGGTCCGGAGGTTCGTTGAACCGCAGCGCGAGCGGGACTTCGTCGATGAGGAAAGACACGGCTTCGCTCATACTGTCCCGTAATCGCCGTAATGTATACGGTGTCGGCACCATGGAAGCAGATGATTGCGGTAGTTTAGCGTGTATGAAAGACTACGAATGGACACGTGCCAACTACGCTTTCACGCCGGCGAAACGCCGTGTAAAGCTCTGGGCCTCACTCGTAGACCCCCGTCTCACGTCAAACGTCCACCCTTATAAATTTACGCAGAATCAAAACAAAACAAAAAAACTTACACGTGTGACTCCGGAGGGCGCCCACGTTCAAAGATGTTCATTTTACACGAGACCTCGCGTGTAAACTAAATACACCGAGCCTTGCGTATAAAAAGAACACGTTTTGACGTGTCCGCTGTAGGAGCACTGTTTACACGCCTGCCTGTGTTGATGTTTACTAACAGCGTACGAGCCGTCCCAGCCAACCCAGAGCTGCGAGGCTGGCACGCCACTCCGTCGAAAAAGAGACTCAAGCGCTTGATTGGTTCAATGACTCTTGCCATACAATGCGTGCCATCTTGAAATGAAACGAAGATAATCCGCCCTTGGTTAAAAACGAGTAGTTCAGAAGGAATAGTAATGCGATGCCTGCACTGATGCCTATTTCACAATTCCCAAACCTCCTTAGCCAAACTGAAAAAAAAAAGTCACAGATATAAATAGCCCGCGGAAAACAAAGTAGAGACCAGATGCCAGAATATATCATTTTATTATAACGTATATAGAGATTCCACACCATTACGCAGCAATATAAGGTGAACGCGAGCAAAACCGAGGTCCGTTGCCGAGATCCAGCTTTCACAGTATTCGCAAGCTACAACGGCCTTTATTTACGCATCACCACCTCCCCGAGTGACGCTGGTCGCGTTTTAACCGCGAATACTACTTTGAGTAGCATGGCATACCTCCAGCAATTGCAGGCAATAAAGACAGTAATTTACCGGGAAGTACAAGAGTACTTGGGAAGAGTCAGTCGTAATCAGAAGTGTCGAAAATGAAGGTTTAAACGATCCTTCCAAGCGCGTCGGCATGTGAACGCTAAAGGAGAAAAGAAAGAAGTTGAAGTAAATCGTTCACCAGAGCTGGATCGTGCTGTTCCCCTGCGAGCGCTCTCAAGGCGCAACAAGCAGTGCATACTATCGTAAAATATGCCGGTATTTCGATACCACACACGTTTCTCACTGCCGAAAAGCAGCCCTGGGAGGGGAAACTCGGATTCATACAGTTGTATGCCACAAGCGCGCGTCCGGATTCCGCATTTCCTTCACGCACACCCTTTCAGAAAAAGCGCCACACTTGCGCCGGTTGTTTCGACGGCATTGTATACACCACGCATGAAACGTGGTATCAACGCCAAAGCACCAAAGAGGGACTCCCACTCTGCTCTATCATTTATGGAACAGCGTTTCATAGCATATATTGTACTTGCACGTATCACATCCGAGGCAATATTGCGTCGGATGTGATACGAGTCGAAAAACGTAGAAAGACTATAGAGTTTGGACAGCAGTCGCCGAAATTCCTTTACGGGAATTTCGACAATTGCTGAAATTCCAGTTCCTACACAAGTTTGCAGTACGGCCACAGGGCGCCGCCCTCTTGCTGAGTTAGGGTGCGCTTGGACGCGTCATAATCCGATTACGACGCCTTAGCAACGCGTCGGATTATGAGTCGTCTAGCCGCACCTCAATTGACCAAGATGGCGGCGCTCTAAGGCCGTACTTGCAAACGAGTATACCGGCGACTGGCTATCGCAGTACCTCCGGTGCCCTCTCACGGCCCCAAGCCGACCACGAGCGCGTGTCAACCCCCTTTTAGCGGGAGGCTGCGGGGGCTACTTGTCGGCCGAGCCGGTCATCTTGGCGATGATGGACAGCATCACTTCGTCGGCGCCGCCGCCGATGGAGAAGAGCCGGGCGTCCCGGAAGGAGCGCGATATGAGCACCTCGTCCGAGTAGCCCATGCCACCCCAGTACTGCAGGCACGAGTCGACCACCTCGCGGAGCAGACGACCGCACTTGAGCTTCGCCATCGATGCCAGCAGCGTGACGTTTTCGCCCTCCATCAGTTGCCCTGCGAGAAGGAAGGGAACGGCACCGCTCGGGACACGGTCGCCAGATCCGACGGAGAGCCACGCCAAAGTGGAGGGGAGAAACCTATGGTGGCCCTAGAACGACTAACGTGTTTACCGGCCTATCCCACCAATCTGTCAAAAAGGGCTCCCAAATGGCAAGAAATGAAGTCTGTGCTCCACGAGTGCTAACTTTAGCACACCACTACGCTTCTCATGCGCTCAAAGTCTTTCTGAAAATCACTGATTTAGTGGTTTTCGATGACTTTCAGCAAGTTTCTGATTGGAACCACATGTCAATTTTGACTAATTGAAACTTAATTAGTCATTTTCAAATAATTAGCCAACTAATCAGTAAGTATCGGACATTTTCTGACGTCCGCCACCACGAGTAATACGGTCCCGAGAATTTTTTTTTTTTTTTACCTCGAAATTTCGAATACACTAATCTTAGGAATTTTGTCAGTCTTCGCTGGAACACCCGGTACATGGGTGAAGACGCGCGGCCAAGCGAACGCGGTGATGCGATCGTACAGATAAGGTCCCCTTGGCGCGCGCACCCTCAGCTGACAGCGCCTCCGCCACCCAGGCGGTACAACTGAGGGGAAAAAAAGTGTTTCGTTCCGCTTTTGTTTTTGTTTTGCACGCGCGTGCGCGCTCGTTCCAGCGTCTGCTTTGACCTTGACGGATGCTGGCTTGAGCACCGTTCTAGAAATCGCTCAGCTGCACTGTGTTCATAGAACTGTTATTGCCGCCGCTGGAGCACGACGGTCAATGACGAAGGAGTGTCTAAGCAACACGCGTAGCGCAAGTGTCAAGTCATAGCCTTCTCTATACTCCCAAAGCCTGGCAGTTCGACGACGGAGCCATAGAGTGCCCGGTCGCAGATTCGGAGCGCGGGGATCTAGCAGCACACAGCGATTTCTCGAGGAATCTGGACGTCAGCGCACAGTTTTTACAGCGGCGAGGACCCGAAACGCACGTGTTCGTTTGGGACAAGTGTGTTTCGGAATCTCGCCGTAGCGGGGCACCAGTCAAGATTCTCTCCTCTCATACGTCATCTGCCGCTCCACCTTTTCCATTTCGGCGGCCGCTTCTCGTGGCGATCTGCCAGGCTTTGTCAGTATACTGTCGAGACAGGTTACAACGAAGTCAAAGGGAATCGAAAATGTTCGATATATCCGTTATTTCCTTATAACCGACTTCGGTCAACGAAGTGCCAAGTAGAATGGAAAATTGTGATCGCTTCGTTGTAGCCGCTAGTTCGTTATAACCGACTTCGTTATAACCTGTCTCGACAGTATAGGAGGCTATGGTCAAGTTCTGCATGGCATGGCGCACCCAGAAAGCTCCATTGAAAACAAGCATGTCTCCCATAGAGATGCATGGGAAACTGGGCATTGACAGGCTACAACTAGGCAGCCTGTCACGGCATCTGGCGGCTGCGACGCGGGTGGTGTCCGCATCTACCTCAATATCACGTGTCACCGCCCACCTCACTTTTTGGGCGAATATTGATATCCAGAAAAACACGGAGTGATCGCCCAACCCTACGAATACCCCAACGCGGACTCCGCGAACATTCATCCCACCCGAATGACGCCGCCGCAAATTTTACGGTTGGAGGACGTCCGTGACAAAGTAAAACGAAGGAGGGAAAGGCAGTTCAACTTAAGTTGGAGTACATGCGTGCGAAAGGAAAACGACGGAGATAACGGAATCAAACTTTGTTTTGCTTACAAAAAAAGTTCGTTCGAACAAAATAAAACAAAAATTCAGAAATATAGCACCCAATTCAGGGATTGCGAGGTCAGCGAAAGCCCCATATCCTGGAATGTCAACGCAGAGTATAAGGTGAAAGATGTAAGGTACAAGTCCGTCTCCACCGAAATAAAGTCACCGCGAACCGGCTTCTCCCGGAACGTCGCGACCGAGGTTGGTAAGGTTGGGCAACAAATCAGACAAAGCCAACGGGTCAAAAATTGAAGGAGCATCCAATGGTGAATATCTAGGGAATGCGCTGGCATGACCCTTGGGAGACGCCACACACGTCCCTTTTTGAAAGCACTGACGCTGACCCCTTTACTTTTCTGTTTTGACTTCCTCTTTTGCTTCTCGTATTTCTTGCTGCCTCATTTTGGCTTCGTTACGGGGTCAGTGTTAGCGTTTCCCAAAGGTCATGCTGACGCATGTTCTAAAGCCGGCGTCACACTGCTTATCCGTTATACAGAAGACGGTCTGCATGCAGATTCGAAGGCAAGTCACCGCGAGATCCGCGCTTCGAATGACGAATGGCAATGAGTTGGAGGAGGAAACTTGGCACGCGGCATTCGAACCACGGTTACGGCGGTGACTCTTGTTTGCAGACTGTCTTTTGTAAGATGTACAAGCAGTGTGACCCCGGCTTAAGAATCCACCAATAGACCTTCCTTTAATTTTTGTAGCACAAACCAAGGCCTGCGCACTCCGCACACCTGCAAGTTCAAGTTCGGCCCATCATTTACGCGCACATTGGCTTCCGCCCCGTTACGTCGCCCCCTCTCGCATCGCCACCCCGCGCGCGCATTGCCTTCCGCCTTATGACGTCACCCCCCTCCCGCCTTTGTCCTTCACTACTCTCCTCATATCTACGCGGCGCACCTCCCTTTCCAATGTTCTATCCACAGACATACGCCGTCAGCTTTTTTCTGTCATGTCGGTACTAATGCTCACGTATTATTAGATTTGCTGGAACGCCGCACATAGAGGTCTGTATAGAGCATCCCATTTCGAACTCCGTGTTCGTGGAGCCATCCACACCACGCAGCAACGCCGCCTCAACCCGCGTTGATAGCATGTCGTGCACGGACGCACGCATGCATGCACGAAACAAGAAGTTGCACAAAAGCCTGCTCCTTGCGATTTACAAGGCGCCCGGCTTGGCCCGACGCCAAAGTATTTGCCAACGCCACCGCCGGCTTTCCCGCTTCCCCAGCATCGCTCTTCGTCGCTTCTTTCGCCCGTTCGCTCGCTCGTCGGGCCCGGCTGGTTCTGTCTATTTTCTTGTTGACTCTGCTAAAAACCTGCTTTCATGGAACAAACGTTCGCGCGGTATGCAGATGGGCGGTGTTCATCGCGCGTACGTAAGCAACGGACTTTCCGATGGTTAAACATTCTTTCATTAGCATTTCTTTCATAAAACAACAAAGCTAATTCGACTTTTGAATTTATTGTATCTCTTGCGCAGCCAAGCTAGATATGTACAAAGAAATGGTCGTTTTCTTAGCTTTCATTAAACGTTATTTGCTTACCCACCAAGACATGGCCCACCCCACTTTTTTATGAATTTCAGGCGGCAGGGACGTGGGCGATGACTCGGGATATTACGCGTATCTATTAATCTTACATTGTGGCCTGAACTAACCCTCCGATGGGAATTCGTGCTCCAATCAACTTTGAACCAACCCAAAGGGCCCAAGAAACGAAGGCAAAACCTACGAACCGGCAGCCCTGTAGCAGAGAGCCCTGAAGGCCTCCACTTCCGTCTGTAGTTCCGCAAGTCGGAACTGGATCACCTGATTCTCGATCAGCGGGGCTCCAAACACCTTGCGCTGCCGGCAGTAGTCCCTCGTCTCCCGTATGATGCGGTCCATCACGGGCGCACCTGCGGTCGGGACGGGAGCGGTCTCATTGGTCGAGCAGAGATCCCATTGCCATGCTTCGTGGGTTCTGAAACTGAGGTTCCGAGATTCCAAATTTCTCAGCCGCCTCTGTCCCTATGTAAAGCATGTTTCCTGTTTAAACGCTATTTTATAAGATTTGAGTCACTCATTACAGCATAATTATGAACGCTCGCTAGTATGTTAATGATTGTTTAGGGGGCCTGCTTCTGGATTGCTTAATTGTATCAGTCCCGAACCAGGAAGGGTTCCTCATTCGCAAATCAAGAGAAATGAGGGTTCCTCAAGATCGGTAAGTTTGACATCTCACGCTCTAAGTTGCATCCAGCCGCTCTACACAGAGAAAGGACGGCGAACCAATCTTTTCGATGAAAGCATGTTTATGAAGGCCACATGTACCGGTGGTTTACCTCCACCTTGCCCTTCAGTACAAAACCAGGGTCAGTGGGGAACGCACAGACCTGTACGTTTCAAGTTATAATTAACTGATTATTTGTAATAAATTACATTTAATTGTAAATTTTTAACGCTTCAATTACTGTTCTCCTGCTTTAACATTCGCTGTAATTCAATTACTAGTTTTCTGTAATCAATTATATGTTCCCGAAAGAGCTCAAATTAATGCGTTGAATTTTTCTACGTAAAACTTTGCTCCGTCTGCTCGTGCGTCACTCGTTTATGTCGCACGAACGTTGGATACCTTTGTTTAGCCCTAGACAACTAAACAGAGATACCGAAGCATTAGAATGTCAACGCGTTCAGCGACGTTTTTACTGTCGAGCTGTCGAGAACGCCTCGTTACCTGTGTACGAGTTGTTGACACAAATGACTGTGCTTTGTACCGAGCTAATCTAGCCACGAGAAAGAACCCCTCCCCCCCCCCCCCCCCGACCCATTCCATCTTAAAAGAGAGACAAAAAGAGAAACAAAATGTAAGCTATTTGAACATATGCAGTTTTCATTTCGTAATAAAAAGTTAAAAAGGTGACGTGAAAATAATCAATTACTTTCTGCTAATTTTGCAATTACTTTTGTGATGCAGTAATTGATTACTGTAATCAGTTGCGTTTTTCAATTAAGTAATTGTAACTGTTCATGTATGTATGTAGGCACGTATGTACGCTCATGTATGTTGGCACGTCCCGTGTATTTGGCGAATATTTGGGGTGAAAAACACGTTATTTACACAAATTACCATAAATTTACACGATGAGTAACGGATAATTCGTTCAGAAATCATGCGAGGTTGTAAAAAACGTGTTTTGGTTCGGTCATACACGCATAACCGTGTAGCCGACCTCGATAACACGCATCGCCCCCGGCGACGACCGCGGCATTGCCGGCTATCGAAGCACCGGAATGCTTGGGGACACACTTAGAACGGACCGTCGAGACAAATGCCGCGGAAAGAAACATGTCTCGGAGACAGATATGCACCAAAAGCAATTGCGCCATCTCGCAGGACGTTGGCGAAACCCGCCCTTACCGTTTCTCGCCGCCATCTTCTGGTCGATGGCAATGCGGCTTTCCTCATGTCGCCCATGTTTGTATTTAGTTTAGGGGTCCTGATAACAGTTTCTTAGACACCACAAATAAAGTCATGGGTCTAATTACTCGTTCCAAACAGTTAAAATGGATATAAAAAGCGTGTCCTCGATGTGAACACGTGACATTGCAGTTGGTTTCGTTTTTGCTTCAACCTTCAACTGCAAGCGATCTGGCCACGGCGCAAGCGCAACGCCGATGTACGCTGGAACATGGAGAATAGAAGGGTAGGAGAGGGCATGACGTCGGCCGCGTAGCCTCCACAAGCCATGCTCCCTTGACGCCTCGCCTCTTTCTCATTTTCCTCCTTACCTTCTCACTTACCATGCCAACGTGACCACATCACGTGACCGTAGCTAGCCTTCGTCTTGCTATGGGGTACTAGAAGACACCACAGTCTAGCCTTCGATCTGATAAAACCTACCGGACGGAGCGCGCGCAAGCCTGCAAAGAGTCTTTCTACAAGCAACCATCCATCTCACACGTGACATGTCACGCGCACCAATCGCCAGACAGATCTGCGGTCACGCTGGGCACAAAAGCGTTTAAACTTTTTATGACTAGGCTTCACCAATATTGCAACGTGCCCCCTCCTAGTACTTCTAACCTCCTTGCGCTGGAAGCAAGCGCCGGTTGGCCAGGTTGGCTTTCGTTGTTTTTGTTTGACCCGAGAAAATCTGGCAAGTACGCATGGCGCCGCTACTGTTTTGGTTTGACGGGACGCGAGAAGCTTCGCATAGAGCTTCGGAGTTTGCGAGCACATAGTGAAGACGTGACCGGAGAAGTGCCCCTGTGATGTTCCTGGAAGACGGAAAGTAGCATTCGTAATCGTCGTGTGTGCTTTGAAAGCGAAGGGAGTCACAGGGTCCACGAGTTCGCAACCACAAGCCAAGGTTCACGACAGCGCGGCGTTGACTTTGGCGATCTCGTTGTGTTTGGTGCAACCCGGCGATGCGAAAAAGAGCTGAAACATTCGTCGTGTGTGGTGCGGTGCTTTGTATTCCGGGTCTGTTTGAACCACGCTTTTAACACGGAGCGCAAATTGTTTGTTGCGTGGTGGAGGTTCAACGGGTACAGTCCCGTCGTCGTCAGCTGATCCGGTCCAGCTGGTCCGGGAGGACGCAGCGAGCGTTTTTAAAAGTAAATCTTCCTTCGTTCCGTTTCAAACTGTGGAAGTATCCCGACACATACCGTGAGTAAGAAGCAGCGGGCGTTTTCAACAAAATTACGTTGCTTTAATTGAATAATGGACTCCGGATTTTTGTCTTAAATCTGCCGTTTTTTATGCTTCGTGTTGGACTGCGTTTGCACAGCGACGCACACCGCTCGAGTAGATGATTCGGTCCTGCAACGAGTTTGTTGCGCCAATCATGCGGCGTGAATAAATTAGGGCAAGGTTTCCTACCTGCCCACAGATGCATGTACTGAGACCATTTTTTATGTTGTGAACGTAGTGCTCTTTCTTTATTTTGGAAGACGCGTTGGTGCATTTATTATGGTACAATCACTTGAGAGTTGAGAAATTGGAGAGCGAGCAAGCTTTCTCAACTTTGTCTCTTTCTCTCTGGCACTGCCCTGTTTCAGTTTCAGTAGGCATATCTACTAGCAGGTACAAACTGCTCTAAAGCAGGTAAAAAACGGGAAGCTTAGGACGGTGCGGACTCCGTGTTTCGCGCTTTTCGCAAGGTGACAGGGTAAATGCTCTGGTGAGATATGCGGAATGTGCAAGCGATTTTGTTATGCCCGTCGTTTGCGTCTCCAGCAAAACGAATAAGATGATCTACTACAAAGGCGCAATCACAAGCCAAGATTTAAGATAGCAGTCGTTTGCTTCGGTGATCCGTGTAGCTCTATTTTACCCTGCTCTCTGCAGCACCGTGTCATGACGAAGAGCTGGAACGGTCACGGTTTGTGCTGGCCTCCCGGTTGTCAGAAACCCGCGTCGCCCGCATCGGCACCGAGTGCGCTTGGGTTGTTGATGCTCAAGCCTTTCATCCACGGCTTGTCGCCAGCTCATCCTGCTGCTCAACGGTGAGGAAGCGGCGAAAGTAACCTCGGAAGTGAATGTAAATCCTCGTTCATTCAGTTATCCGGTGTCAAAGTGTGGAAGATGTCCAACGTGTACTGAGGCGGGAACTACGAGCGTTTTGCCTTGCTTTTATAACCGAAACCAGACCAACGAGATAACTGCCTAGCGTACTCTAAAATGACGGAAGCAATAAGTTTCAACAGGTCGAGCACGTCACCGGGGATGTAGGCGAGACGGTGCACACTGTTTAAACGCTTGCAGTATCCACGAGTGGTACCAGGAAAGCGACGTCAACAGAGAAGGAGCTCGCGATTCAGCATAATGCACTGCTACGGGCCCGTGCATCTTCAAAGTTCGGGGTGGTGGCAGTATAAAAAAAAGACGCATCAGCGCCCCACACCAGTGTTCACGAATAACACCGGTCACAAACTCCCAAGCCCCACCGCTCTTCTCGACACCGACACGACATACAACAACAAACTGCATCAAAACGCCCCAAAAGTGAAGGCGTCTGCTCCCGTACTGCAACTGCTGCAACTAGCGGAAGTGAAGTGTTGGGCGGATGTCCGGATGTCCTTCACAAAAATATATAAAAAATGCTTTGCGCAAGGATCATTTTCATTTATATTTGTATACGTAATGACAAAATCCCAATAATTTGTTTTCCTATCTGATTCAAGCTAGTCAGACTGCCCATAACACTGGTCAAGCAAGAAAATAACAAAAATTTGAACTTTTTCATGACCGGTTTAAGATTTATTGTTAACATATCGTTATTTATTGCAACGGACTAACATTATAGATTTTGCCTCCATACTTTTTAAATGCAAACAGTTCTAACACACGGCTGTCCATTGCGCCGTGTTTTGTGTATTCTTCTATAAATCCGTAATGGTCAGCGACCAAAGAGCTCACCCGCACATGTCAAGCTTATATGCGCCGCGGGGAGAAGTGGATATCGAGTAGGAAGTGTCGGGCATAGTGTCGGTTGTTGTGTTTGTGTACATGTCGGTGCTGTGTTGCCTGCGTTGTATGTAGGGTTGCTGTGTAGTCGTGGTTGTTCGCAGTCTTAACAGACTCGTCTTTTTTTTTACAACAGGCTGCTAGAAATCTCGATAGGTGGCGCCCGATTCTAAATAGTTTGCTCAAGTTATTTATCCATGTAAATTCGGCACTCGTTTTTTTGTTTTGTTTTTTTGTCTAGCGGCTTGTTGAAGCTACCGACGCCGCCGACCGCCGACAACGCACGTACGTACCTTTGCAAGTAGCTACGTCCGCCGCTTGGAGACTTTACTGTGTATAAAAGACATCGAACGAGAACTAACGCGCCCTGTGTGCTTTCAATTCGGCTGAAAGGCGCGCGGCTCGCTGGGCTCGTCTCTCGCCTGTTCTCGGCCGCTGGCCGCCATGTTTCATAAGGAACACGCTCGAAACGGTTTTACGGAAGGCAGACACGGTGTAGCGTGTTAAGTTTACACAGCACCTCATGTGTAGACGAAAAACACAGATGGCCTCGTGTAAAACGAACACGTTTCGACGTGTCCGCTATGGGACAACGGTTTACACGTCTGGGCGTGTTATTTTTGCTAACAGTGTATGTATGCTCATGTATGTATGAAGGCACGTTTTTATGCCCATGTATGTAAGTAAATTCATGTAGAGTCTTGTTTGCTATAAAATGCCAGACATTTTATGCAACTATCCGTTCGAAACATTGTTGTACATGCTTTAGTCTACAGTATGCTCCGTTACGGCATTATCGCGTATGGTCACTGTGATCTTCGTTAACAATTTCGAATTAATTCGATTCTGCATTCTTTGTTAAATAACAATTCACATAATTTATATATTAGAGAGGATTTAAAGCATTGCACTGACTTATTTTAATTCGCTGTCGATGAAAACTGTTGTTCCTAGGCATTTTTGGTATAGTCAATTTAAAGGTGTACTTCTCGTATTCTCAGACCTAAAGAGCGTTACGAGATATTTCGGTGTTCGACAATATTTGGGAAAAGAGCTTGTAGTTATTATGTACCTGCATGTCTGAACAAACTAAATTTTAGTATTCTTGATTTAAGAACAAAATGCAAGCTCAAGAAAGCCCTGAGAAATGTTAGCTTGTAAAGCGCCCACTGTAATAAAATTTATTATTATTTTTATTATTATAAATCGGTTACTTTTTTCAGTAACGCGTTCAGGACTGGGAACAGATGACAAATGCAGATCGACGCTCGGCCTGGATGGTGCCTTCAACAGCCATTGTTGAGTGCCATTGTGAGTCTCGTGCACCACGCTTTTTAGAAAGGTAACGCCCGCAGACATTCCTGCCTAGCTGGGACAGGTTGAACGCACCACTCCTTTGTCACACCTTTCGTCTTCCCAGCTGCATTTTTGTTGGTTTGGCGATAAACCGCCATATTGAGATTTGCTTTGTACAAGCGATCTCTCCCTCCTTTGTCTTGCAATACCTATCCGCATAAAACAAGCGGTTGATAAGTACTATAGAGCCCCCTTGATATCTACATTTTTTTAGTATGACCGCAGTAGAACAAATTACAATGCATTAAAATAAATACCAACCCATAATGCTTTTGAGGGCCTAAAAGTCATACAGGAAGCGTCTCTCACACCAAAATTTATTTCGCAAGAATTTTCCAGGCTGTGGGGAATTATCATATTCATTCAAATATAAGTGAACATTTTTTTCTAATGATAACTGTTCTTGTAAATTGGGAGCTGAGCTATCATCCTAACCAAACAATGTGAGCCTATAAGAGTGAGCGAGATCTTCGGGCCCTATGCTTCCTCATGTCAGCAACTGCACCTAGCATGCCGGCTCAAAGTGATGAAGTGTGTGGCGCTTGCCATGCCAGACAGGTGAAACCCGACTCACGTGCCAGAGCACGTCAAGCTGCACCGTTTCCAGAGTGTCGCCGCGGGAGGTGGCAGTATTTGTACGCATCAATAACCGGAAAAGCACGCACGAGAAACGGGAAATGGAACAGAGAGTGGCGTTCATGAACCAAACATCCGGGAAAACGTACCGACACATAACGCATAAACAAGGTCCTACTGCAACTGAAAGAAAGAAACCTGCCTGCCACTTTGGTATATCCCGAAAGCACTCTAAATGCACACTATCATAGATTTTCTGTCAGGTCCTAGTGTTTTGTAACGTCACAATTTCACACGATGTCACAGTGTTGCCTGGCCTCGCAGTGCCATGCGACATTATTGCCGCGGATGGAAAGGCTCGACCAGCGTAAACTGACAATAAAGGTTTAATTGGTAAATCTCTGCCACAAACAAAAAAGAAAATGAGCACCGAAAAAGCAGAAGCGAGCGTCACGGCATCGGCGTGACGGCTGGCTTAAGCAAGACTGCGAGATAAGGAGACTAGGTAGGAGGCTCTCGGCTCCTCATCTACCACACTCGATATCTCGAATATTCGATCTAGAATGTTCGGGACTGAGCCAGGGCGGGACTGACTCGGCAAGGTCATGTTGGCCTCTTTCTCCTTTTCATTCGGGGTAAAAGCAAACTCGAATCTTCAAGAAGTACGGAAAAGCGTTCTTTCTCGGTCATGCACGCGGCATAATGGTGTCACGTGAACACCGTGACGTCATCGTACTGTTGAAGTGATGGCGTCGCAGTGACCCTTTTAAGATGTCGACGATGTTACTTGAACACCACGACATCACCGTTCAGGGCACATGCTACGGACACGAAAGCGCCAAGAGCCATCCATATAAATGCCACGCGCCTAAAGAGACCGAACCGAGAGTATAGAATCGACTCACAGCTGATGGCGGCTGCGAGCCGCTCCTCCTGGAACTGCAGCATCTGGTAGATGAAGCCCATGCCCTCCTCGCCTATGATGTTCTTGGCCGGCACTCGGACGTCCTCGAAAAACAACTGCGCCGTGTCCGACGAATGCTGCCCCATCTTCTTGATGCTCCGGGCCACTGTGACCCCTGCGAACACCAGAAACGGCCACTTTCTTGGAATAATTTAAAAAAAACTTAGTGATTTCGTTTCATTTCATTTCCCTCAAGACATGCAGCATTACAAATAGGGGGGCCGGGGAATGCTGGATAGCAAGTAAGTACAAATAACACTACCCAGAAAGAGAAGGTTTATTCTTGAGCACCAAAAAAGAAAAAAAGACGAACACACAAGCTTTCTCACTTTCATTCGTGAAACAAAAAGAATCATCAATATGTTTTCATGAAACCGAGAGCTTCATGAAGAGTTTGAAACGGTGTGCTGGCTATATGCTTCGTAGAAGAGCAAAAAGCAATAAAAAAATCTAGAGGATAATAAACTAAACATAAGATCACAAGTCGATCTATGAAATTACATTCAAACAGACGCTCTCACACAAGCCAGCTTGTGCTGGTCATGATCAGTCTTGGGTAGTAATCACTAGTAAGGCGTTACTAGTAACGCGGTACTGTAACTTCGTCACTTTTTTCGTAACTTCTAACTGTAACGAGTTACTTTTTAAAAATGTAACCTGTAACTGTAGTTCTATTACTTTTTCTGAGGTAACGATGAATGTAACTACGTTACTTTTGTCGTTACTTTCCAGTTTTTTTTTATGAATAATATATCATTGAACGAGTACAATCTAGCTATTTTTTGCACTTTCCAAATTGCCTGTTTTGACATTGGGAGTGTCAATTTGGCCTTGCACGAACTTGTGGACACGGTCTTCCTCGCGAGTCACGACCCGAATATAGCCACGCATGGATGTGATAAAAAAAAAACAAAAAAAAACTACTGTAGTTATGTTTTGCACGCGTTTGTACTTTGTGACAGAACATTTACATTTGAGTATATCTTGAAGCACTATCAATGTTGCCGCTGTTCTTTTTTTTCTGTGCAAACGCTTTTTAATCGGGTGAATCAACCGTGAAACAACAATACACACGAAGGGCACTGCGAATGTTTCGTATTTTGATTAGCTCCACTACTTCGCACTGCGCATGTTTCGTATATCGATTTGCGCTACCACTCCGGCATGGTGTCAACAGTTCAGGCAAAATTTGCTGCTGTTTGCGCGGGGTTTGCTTGTTGCTCTGGTTGCGCGGGGCCTGTTCAGCAAGGGCAGGGACGTGCTCGCCATCAAACGAGGGTAACTTTCAGCCACTATTTTCAAAAAAAGCAACTGCCTGCTAAGTTCCAATCTAAACTAAAAAGCATGCTTTTCAATTTTATGCAATAAAACTTGGTGAGGGTCATTTTCTAGTTTTTGATAAATGTTTAGCGTTATAGAAAAGTAACTCAAAAGTAACGTCGTTACTTTTAAAACTAACGAACTGCATCGAGTTACTTTTTTGTTGCGGTAACTGCAACTTCGCTACTTTTTTTTACTGCAAGTAACTGTAACTGTAACGAATTACTTTCTAAAAGTAACTTACCCAAGACTGGTCATGATGTGGTCTGTTGGTCTCGAACCTTGTGAAGAACCATGAAAAGTGTACATGCTATTGTACTTGTCCCTCACTCTTTTCTCTCTGCCATAGCAGCTAGATGACTGCCAAAAGCGATTAGCCACAATCATAAAAAACCCGAGCATGCGCCCATGTCGCAATACGCGTCCACCACCTACTCCTAAACATTTGTAATACAAACAAAACACATCAAGCGCCCACCCCAGTAAACTTCCAAGCCCACCGAACTCACGAAAACGCTTCTCTGCGCCGGCTGCTTCTCCAAGGACACTGGTGCAAAGCAGTGAAGCTTCACTGCTTTAAAAATTGGGGGTTTTCCCAGACCCCCATTCCTCTCCTACCTTATCAAACAAGGGCTAACCAAAGGCTCACCCTACCATATGTCCCTTCTGCTTTTCTGGTCTCAAACCTAACAAACGCCCATCCCCATTTCTTTTCTTTTTTTTGTCTTAATAAGGAAGTTTTAGGTGGGCGCTCACTCGGGGTGTCACAGTACGTTTTCCCGCCAGTCGCTCTCTGCCGAGGATAACCCCAACAAGGTGACGTGGGCGGAGGGAGCGACGCCATTAGGGTGACCACCTTCCTGCTAGCGAAATGCGGGACACGCAAAAGGGGGGGGGGGGGGGGGGGGGGTCGAGGAAATTTATTAACATACGCACCACAAACCCAGGCTCTGTTAACACAGTTAATATCCTGTGCTGTTTATACACCTGCTAATTCTATTGTGCCCTTTAAGCTCAATTAAATTTCACTCCCAGTGATATATCTTTTATGCCAAATCTGTTATTAATGTGTCGAAGTTGAAAATATAAAAATCGACTGTAGCAGAACTCAATGCATCAAATGAAAATAAGAAACAGTAAATCTTTTTTGGGTTATTGTTTCCTGTCAACGCTTACTTTTATCAACATAGTCATACACAAATCTTTAACATTATATTATTTTTCGACCGTTGCGAATTGTAGGCTTTTCGCCATGTATGGCTGCCTTCACTAAAACAAAAATCCACAGCAACCCTTTGGTGTTGACACAGTGATTTCAAAATAATTACAATATTTTATATTGAACCTTTTGGTGAGCAATTCTTAGATTATTTTGCCAAGGGGAGAGGCACAACGGAGCATGCGCGTCGGTTCTCCTGCAAGAACGACGGTTGCTTCCCACAATGCTTGTATAGAAAATGGTGTACCATTGTGATTCACACGATTACCAGCGATCTCCGGGCTTCCCCGTGCCCCATTGTTCGGCAGCGCCATGAGTTGCAGAGGGAATTTTACTACAGTATGAAATGCGGGACATTTTGAAGATTTGAGAATTTTTTGCGGGACGCGGGACACGAGCCCTCAATGCGGGACAGTCCCGCAAGGCGCGGGACGGGTGGTCACCCTAGACGCCATCGAGCTCACCGGGAGTCTTCAGGGGCAGGCAGATGAGCGACTTGGTCCTGTGGCGGGGTCCGTCCCGACGCGTGTTGGCCAGCAGGCACATCCAGTCCGCCTGGCAGCCGTTGGTGATCCACATCTTACCTCCGTTGATCACCAGGTCTCCTCCCCTTCGCTCCGCCGTCGTCTTGATATCTGCGACGCAAAGACACCATGGGTCACCGTTTTGCGTCGTAAGACGTCAAGCAGCCGTTCGAGGGCCGTCAGCCCTCGAGAACCTGGAAACAAAAAGTAAGGGCGCAAACGAGCTGGTGTACATTGCACATGGTTGAAAAAATCCCGAGACTGCGGGTAAACGACACAACACTAGAAAGTCTCTAACACAGACACAGCTGAAATTTTTATTTTCCAAACCTGGTTATATAGGCACTTCGATACAAAAGAAAAAAGGGGGAGAGGGTGAGAACCCCAAAGAATGCCACTTTCCACCAACGTAATCTCTGACTAAACAACAAGGACAACAGACTCTGCGTCATGCACTTCTCTTATCTTTGACCCCTCGCTTCCCGACCGCCAAACACACTGGTAACCCCAAACCCAGTAACACATATACAAAAAGAAAAGAACGACCCACGACCCAGGTGCACCATCTATTCGCTTGACATAAAAGATCTGTACTATTTTTTAGAGCCTAAGACTTTATTGGCTAGGGTAAGTAGCTTTTTGGAAGAACATTTGGTCAGTTTCCAGTCGCAGTCGGGGATATCTGTGCAGGATGTTCTTAGGATTTTAGAGGTGTACCTAGGTACTACGGTGGTGCAACATAACGGTCAAAGATACATCCAGCAACAGGGTGTGTTTTGGATCGGCGGTAGCCCCAGCTCTTTCTGATATTTATCTAAGAGACCTAGATATGCACCTTCTAGAGTCCTTTAGACATAGGTCCCCTAAGGAAATTCTGGTGAGGAGGTACGTAGACGATATTTTGGTTTGTTCTATAGATGGCTCCTTAGCAGATTCTTTGGAGAAAGTAGTGTTCGAAGTAGCGCCCGAATTAAAGTTCTCGCTAGAGAGACCGAATGACGACCGTTTACAATATCTCGATCTTCAACTTAGGACTAGTTCAGGCCTTTGTTGGGGGTACGGAAAGTTCGCAGCAAAACCTCTTCTTCCTTTCAATAGCTGCCATTCTAAACATGTCAAACTGGAGATAATTCGAAATTGCAGTAATGTTTGGAGGTGGGCTAGTCGGTGATGCATTGTAAACATAGAAATAAAACAGCGCAAACGAACACAAGGACAAGTAGAAGAAGGGACACAGACACAGCGCTGACTCAGGACTTACTTTCTTTCTCATCTTTTTAAAACATATCAACATAAGAAAACACGAAATGAAAAAATAAAAGAAGAAGAATCCAGCATGTAGGACATTCTCTCTGTCATATGTCATATGAGGAATTTTTTACAGAAACTATACATTATATACCATTTATAACTATACATCATTCCTCAGATGGCATATGACATCTGAGGAATGATGTATAGTTATAAATGGTATATAATGTATAGTTTCTGTAAAAAATTCCTCAGATGACATATGACAGAGAGAATGTCCTACATGCTGGATTCTTCTTCTTTTATTTTTCATTTCGTGTTTTTTTATGTTGATATGTTTTAAAAAGATGAGAAAGAAAGTAAGTCGTGAGTCAGCGCTGTGTCCCTTCTTCTACTTGTCATTGTGTTCATTTGCGCTGTTTTATTTCTATGTTTACAATAATTCGGAATCTCGTCAATTCAACAACACAAAAGCCCTGCTCACATTTCATTGGCTCTTCTCTTCGTCGTCTAACAGAACGTTCCGAGGTGGCTGGATATCCTCAGGAACATATTTTAAGGCAGTTGGTGTATATGATATTTCCAAAGGAGTCAATTCAGAAAAATCCTAGACCTTCGAAGCGAGTAGTCCTTCCATATTTTCATAAAATTTCTCACAACATCAAAGCGTTAGCCAGCAGGGTTAATGTAGGCACTGCCTTTTCTACAGATTATAGATTGAGCCATTTGACCCCTTTTGCCTCGACTGTTTCAGCTTGCGCAATACAACACAGAGAAAGGGATGTGGAATGTTCGTCGGGTGTCATTTACAAGATATATATATATACCCTTTGATTGTGGCCTTTGTTATATTGGGCAAACTTAACGGTGTATAAATGAGCGGCTGACTGAGCACAAGCGTATAAAGAAAAAAGACCCGTACTCCGAAGCGTCAAAACATCTGATCGAATGTAGGAACTGTGTACCGTTGTGGCTTCTAACTTCAGTAGAGTTGCGGGAAAAAGATGACCATACGCGGTTGATAAAAGAGTCATTAACAATATTAAGTCACGGGAACGCAGTTAATAAGCCGTCGTTTGGGTTGGACAATGAACTGCGGCGTTTTCTTAGGCTGTGAAATGTTCTGACCTTCAAGGTTTATGTCTGTAGGTTTTCGGGTAGAGAGGACAATGGGTCGTTCTTTTCTTTTTGTATATGTGTTACTGGGCTTGGGGTTACCAGTGTGTTTGGCGGTCAGGAAGCGAAGGGTCAAAGATAAGAGAAGTGCATGACGCACAGGCTGTTGTCCTTGTTGTTTAGTCAGAGGTTACGTTGGTGGAAAGTGGCATTCCTTGGGGTTCTCACCCTCTCCCCTTTTTTCTTTTGTATCGAAGTGCCTATATAACCAGATTCTGGAAAATAAAAATTTCAGCTGTGTTAGAGACTTTTTAGTGTTGTGTCGTTTACCAGCAGTCTCGGGGGTTTTTTCAACCATGAACCTGGGAAGTTCGGTAAACCCATTTCCGCTTCCCCCACGTTACGCTGGTCTTCACGTCCTTTTAGTTCGTAACAACCCCCCACGTCCCAATAGTCTAAAGAGAATTAGATGTGAGCGAGGGAAATCAAAACATATTCTATAATTTCGTGCCGAGTACAGGCGCACGAGGGACTGATTCACCGAGCACAGTCAGACTTCTGGTTCTACTCGGACAGGACATTGTCACCAAGTGCAGAGCACGGCTGATGCAGCCAGGAAGTGAAAGGGAAAGAAAACTACAGCGAGCGTTGCTTCCTCTCCGTCGGAAATAAGTGAACACCGACTCGCATCTCCTTCCAGACTTGTCGACGACAACTGGCGAAATGTGCTCTCAGCAGCCGCCCTGAGTGCGCGAATTGCTTGTGCACTTCCCGAATAGAAGGCTGTATTACCTAGTATTAATTTGACAGAACTTATGATTTCGTCGTTTAGTGCTGTCCCAGCTCCAAGCAAGAGCACAAAGACGACAAAGTAGACATGTTTACCTCTGTAACCGTACCGAAACTTTACGGCGATGGCAGCCAAAACACGAAACGCATGTTGAAAGAAAGGTTTGACTAGGGTTGCCGACGGCATCCTGGCGTGTAGCCAGTGTTGTAGGCGTTACCGAAACAAAGTAACGAAATATGTTACTCGTTACAATTGCAAGTAAAAGAAACGCGTTGCGGACCTACGTTACATCAAGATAAAAGGAACGCGTTACCGTTACCGATGAAGAGTAACGCACGTTACTTTTTGCTTACTTTTTTATTTATGAATTAACACGTTTTACTGTTTTGACGATAAAGGTACGCATAAGCGTCAAATATCAAGAAGCAGTATGTTTATACAGAAGCTGAACATAAATAGTTTAACATTTTTATGGTTTTACATAAATACAAGAAAAAACGCAAAAAGAAACACCAAAATTCATAACTACACGTGGCTTGGTGCTTAAAAACAGAAAACAAATATTGATTTGCAATTTCTTTTTTAACTCTTTAGAAGAAGTAGCAAGTAACGTAACCACGTTACACATTACTTGAAATAAGTAAAGTATGTTACCTATTACTTTTCTGAAAAAGTAACAAGAATGTTACTACCTCACCGACAAAAGTAACGCGTTACCGGTAACTCTGTTACTTGTAACGCGTTACCGCCAACACTAAGTGTGACGTGAAAAAACACCACGATGAAGACGACAGATGCGAGCCACTTAGTGCTCGGAACTCTCCATAGCGCGACTGCATGCGACTGCATTATTCCGAAGGCTGCTACGTCTTGCATAATGTAGGACAGCGCAACTCTGGGTGAAACACTCCCGTGTAGCGAATGTCCAAAGGGTATTCTTCGTCAGATCTTTCAAATCGTTTAGGCAAACTGAATACAGGTATCATTTGTGAAACTAGGAAACATATATGCACGCTATGTATCTAGAAATCTGTCATTGTTTGAAATACTTGTATGCAAACTGAATGTATGTCACTTTAATTGCATGCTGTAGTTTGTTTTCTGATATTTCATGCCTGTAATTGTATGCAGGTTATTTATCTAGGGATATGTCAGTGTTAAAAACCCTTATATTCAAACTGAATGTATGTTACTATTCTATGTTAATTTGTTTTCTTACATTTTCTGCCTGTTATTGTAAGGCCGTGTTTCCTATTTTTCTGATCTGCTGCTGTTGTTCTTGGGGAGGCAGAGGCTTTGTCAAGCAACTACTGTGTTGTTAGTCTTTCTTTTCCTCTCCCCTACTTTTTGAAGAAAAATAAAGAATTTAAATCTGAATGCTTGACCTTAGATCCAAGGTAAGGTGATAATCCCTGGAGAAGAGGAACAAGAGGGACAAACACAAATTTCCAAACACAGCTAGGTGACTGGTGCGCCACCGAAACAATCCGCCTGGTCCAGGTATTAAACCAGGCAGCTCTCCATTTCTACTGGAGCGCTTTGCCAGCTGAGCTAATCAGGAGGTAGACGTCAGTGGAGCAAACGGGTTTTATCAGCCGTCACCAGTCTAACACCAACGAGGGTGAACGGCCTGCATTTTAAGGTTATGATGATAATGCAATTAATTCAAAAGGGCAAGCGAGCAGACACGAATAGCTTCTCCAGGGATTATTAGCAGTGTTGTACACGTTCCTGAAAAAAAGGAGCGAGATATCGTTCCTCGTTCCTTCTGATTTTTGGAACGCGTTCCCGTTATAAGTTCCATCTGGGAGAAAGGAACTCGTTCCCGTTACAGTTTTAAGAATGAAACGTATCGTTACATTTACGTTACATTTGTATTTTACAGATTACCATATTTAGTTAGATCAAGGAAAGCTTTTTTTTTTAATCTATTCCATCAAATTGGAACATGCGAATTGGAATGCCGTGATGGAAGGGTGCCAGGAGGTAAAAACAAGCGGAAGCAGTGTTTTATTTGTCTATATATTCACTTTTAAAGGGCAACTCCGCTTGATTTCGGAAATTTTGAGATAGTGGGTGATATAAACGTGAAAAGTACTTCAAAACAACCCTAGACCGTTTGTTTCATCAAAAGCAAAATATTTTTCGTGCGATCTTGTTATTTACCACAATCGCAAACCGAAACTGAAACTTCGGCACAGCCGGGCAACATTGTACTCTCAACGTCAGTTGCGTACGCACCCACGTGGAATACAAGGGGTCACGTGATCTACTAGCGGTAACCTTGGCTAGGCCCGCCCTCCCTCCTCCCTCCTTGCCCTTCCCCTCGCATCCGCGTCTTTCTTGGGTTACCCAAGAAAGACGCGGATGCGAGGGGAAGGGCAAGGAGGGAGGAGGGAGGGCGTGCCTAGCCGCGGCGGCGAACAGGCAACGCAAGCACCAACGAAGCAGGCTATGTAGGCGGCAACCCAGGCGGCTAGTCGGTTGGCACCGGTTGGCGGGTGTGTCAGCGAAGCTCATCCCGTACAACTCTCTCTTCCTCTTTTTGTTTCTCTTGTTCTCGGTCTTTTTTTTTTTTTTTTGTCTGTCTCGCTCACTGATCTCTATTGTAGTAGGCTCGCCTCTTTGCTTGCTCAAACTTGGAGCGCGTCCGTAGCGCCGCCCGGTAAGCTCTCCCTGGAAAAGAAAATACCAAGAAAAAAACTGCGTATGCAACAGACGTCAGCCACAACGGAAATACAACGTTGGCTGCGCCGCACGTCGCCCGCTAAATTAGCGGATTTTGGTGACTTCGCGCGTCTCAGTTTTTGTCGGCCGGTTTAGTGATCTTTTAGGCGGTATTACGTTATAATATTTGACATTCGGTCTCTATAGATGACACTAAAGAGAGTCGCAGTGTTTGGTAACAACCGAGAATGAAGCGGAGTTTCCCTTTAAAACTCTCAGCGTTTAACCATATTCATGTTTGTGGAGGGCAACTTGGACGAACCATATGTACTGTCATTCTATATTGCACGAGCGTTTTACATCAACCTCACGCTTTTCAATCCAACAAGGTTCCTTGTTCGGGCATCACAACAGTTGCTTTTCGATGTTGCTGTCCTCAAGAAGAGCAAGTGAAGAAGAGGGTAGGGCTTTTGGAAGTTCAGTCTTGAAAACTACAAATACTTCTTTGCGAAGGTTGGATTTGTTGTTCAGTTTGAAGGTGGGGGACAAGGTAAGAGAACATCAAAGTTCAGTTTTGTGCATAGTCTCAGTGACGAATATTCGGGATACAAGGGTACGTCCGTGTCTGGTACCCTTTTTTTTTAAACTGTAGGCTTTTTTTAGAAGGTTTCGTAATCGCTGTAGTCGTCCTTAGATTTCTGGGTGTACAAGGATTCGTGGATGCAAAAAAAAAAATATCCGAGTTTGAAACTTTCCCTCTTTTTGTGTCTTTTCCTTCGACTAAGCGTTTTGCTTTTTGTACCCCAGTCTCGGTCACTGAAAAAAGAATCAATGTCCGCTAGCTCTCCTGCGCCCGACGGTTACCCAGCGAGGACCACACAAGATAAACCCTAAGATAAGTAACCAAAAAGTTAACGATATCCTGCTGTTCGTAAAGATATTGTCTTTATACTTTTAGACTCTCCCTCTTTAAAATGAAATAAAGTTGCCCCACTGGACGAGAAAAAAGGAACGCCGTTCCTTTTTCCGTTCCAGTAAAAATGTAACGCGTTCCCGTTCCACCGATGCAAAAGAGAACGGTGGCGTTCCTTCGTTCCTCCTAAAAGGAACGCGTTCCAGGAACGCCGTTCGTTGGAACGCCGTTCCGTACAACACTGATTATTAGTGTCAGCTCACTTTCACCTTTGCATTAATTGCATTATCATCATAAACTTAAAACGCAGGCAGTTCGCCCTTGTTGGTGCTAGACTCGGGGAAGCTGATAAAATCCGTTTGTTCTACTGACGTCTAACTCCTGGTTAGCTCAGTTGGCAAAGCGCTCCACTGGAAATTAAGAGGTCCCTGGTTCGACACCAGTACCAAGCGGGTTTCTTCGTTCGCGCACCAGTCACGTAGATGCGTTTGAATCGTTATGTTTGTCTTTTGTTCCCCTTGTTCCGCTTCTCCAGGGATTAGTATCGTCATTCGTGTCAGCTTGCTTGCACCTCATAGTCTTGGGACGAGTGGAGATTGTATGAACATCGTGCAACTGAACACGGCGGAACGTTTGCACGCTCGGCGCGGCCTCTTGACCTTTGATAACGGCTTTGAATACGTCGCCAGTCGAGCTTACTTGCGACGTCGGAACCACAGTGTGGCTCGGAGATCCCAACGCAGCCGATCAGATCTCCGGCAATGGACGGGGTTAGGAACTGCTTCCTGAGCTCGTCAGAACCATACCTGTTAGGGGGGAGAAACAGAAAGTCAATGCTAAGTTCATAATGCTAGAAAAGACTCCTACATATCAATCAATTCGCAGCGCGATACGCAACTCGACACTTTAGAAAGCTTGCAGAATTCTAATTGATCATACAGGGGGCAGCATCTGCTCATCACCGGACACTTTGTGATGGACCTCACTCTAAAATAAAATTATAAAGAAAAACAGAAGTCAAATTTTGGGTTTTTATGTGCTCCCAACGAAGGCCATCTGGCACACCCCAACGGGGGATCAAGGAATAATTTCAAACATCCTGGGATATTTTGACGTGCAACCGAAATATTGGAGACACAGCCCCATCTCATCACCTCAACCGGGACTCGAACCCGACTCTTGAAACGACGAAAGCTAGAAACAACTTAACCCTGGAATAAACGTGGACAATATGGGAAAATAACAGCACACACGCTATTGTGTTTACAAAACAGAATATAAGTTTCACGCAAGTCAACAGAAAGCCATCTCCGCTTCGGCGCCACACCTTTTATCTGACAAAACTCAAGCCCTTTATTAGACTTCCAAAAATAAACAAACGAAGGGCAGAGAGACAAACCTCGCCAGCGCCGGGGTGCATATGTCCGTTTGAACGAGGATGCCGGTGACGACGCCGCTCGCGTTGACAGCGGCAAGCTCCTCGAAGAGAGCTACCGTGTAGCTGTAGTCCAGGCCCAGCCCACCAAACTCTGCGAGGAGACGCACCTCGTCAGAACCGCGGCAGCTGGCTCGCTAAAGGCGGGACCTCACGCTGATATGCGGAGGGACGTAATGGTCTAAACTTCTAAAAGCCCCATGAGGCAATTTCTTCACTTTGACTTACTCCTGCTGAGTTTTACGTTTAGAATGCATGAAACAGGCATCAGTTTTTGTTCTCGCAAAAAGTGAGTTTTATAAGGCTCGCATTCATTTTCCTCCCCAACACTCGTCCCGAACCCCAACGAGACGGTGTCGCCAGCCGATGAAACAAACGTGGGAAGGACAAACTCTGTTCGACGGCGTGATCCGTGAACGGCTCACCGCTCTGTCAGAAACGCTAAACTAATTATTCTTTTTTTTTTTTCTTTCTTTTTGAACATGACAGCGAGCCGTGGTGAGCCGTGGTGGCCGGAGTGGGGAAAGCGATGTGACTTGCCCAACCCCACCAATAGAAATGGCTCTGTCCACGTGCTCGGTGCGTTTCGGTGCATTCGGGAGTTGGACAACGCCGCGACGCCCGACGCCATGAAAGCCTTGCTTTGACGTCCTCTGCACCTTGCTCGTGAATGTGATTGGTAGCATCCAATGATTTCGTCATAGAACACGTCACAGCGCGGGACGCCGTAGCTTGCCGGAACGTGTCGTGGCAGGGAGTGAAGTCTCCCCGGCTTTGATGGAAACATTCTCCGGCTCATCACGGCCGCGGCGCCAGCTTGCATAGCCCTTCAGTTGGGTTTACCGGAGGACCAACATGATGGGGCTGTGAGCTTCCCAAGCAGCGAAAGGAACAAAACGTGAAAGCCACTGCAGCCCATGGCGACGTCGGGACCCTAAAACATAGCAAGGGGGACTTGTCTTCCCGATCAGATATAATGCTTGCGGAAGGGAAAAGTGATTCGTTTCCCAGCCACCAGCTTCCTTTTTATAGTTCCTTGATATTTGTATTGAAACGCTACCAACGGAAGGAACCACCATGATGCGCATGACAGCACATGTGCATTTTAAGAACAATCTGTTTTGTTATTAATGCTGGCTTTTGAAATGGTGACGCCTGAACCTCTCGCACAGAAACATTTCGCATGCCACAAATTACCAAAGAATAGCAGCTGCGAAATGGAGGGAAGGTGCAGAAATACGCCGAACGTAGCTCTGGAATGGCTCCACAATCTAGTATTATGATCGACCATTCCGATTTCTCCACTTCCAGTCGCTGTCGTAGATCGGTTTGGGCAAAGAAGTAAGAGCCCGTGAAAAACACAGGTGGGCTGAATAACGAACGCGCGACTAGAGTAACTATATGCTCCGCTTGCTGAGCAGAGTACCGCGATGGTGCCATTCTGGATGGAGCCAAGAACTGCGGGAAGCCACGGTCGGTTTTTGCATGGGCACGAAGGCGAAAACGCGAGGAGGCGGCATGCTGAGGCGTGCTGCGGCGCGCTGCGGAAGGAAAATAGTGCGGCGTGCGGCGACGAGCCGCGCATGCGCCGTGATCGTTGTCCCGTCGTTTCCTGTCTCCTCCCCGCAAAAAGCGCACACGCGTACGCACCCGCGGGTTCCGCGGGTCGCGTGTGAAATGAAATCGTCAAGTCGCTGTTGCTGGGACGCAGATAGCGTCGTGAGCCCGCCGTGTGCCCAACTTTTTGAGGACCTTTCCCCTCGAGCGATCGCAAGCAGCAAAAGAACGCAGGCCTGCTTATTTTCTTCTTGTGTTTAATCGAAGAGCCATTGCCGCTGCTCAGCCTGACTTTTTTGTTTTTCCAGCAGACAGTTTACTAGATATTATGTAGACGGAAAGGTGCTTTACCTTCGTGCGTTCCAATTATATGCGAATCTTAGAAATGTCGAGCACCTGCACTTTCATGCTAAAATAGTGTACAACTTTTTTTTTTTTTTTTTTTTTATTCGAAGTTTTTGCCACTTTACGAGTTGGAGACGCCCGAATTGGGAGCTCTTGGAGACCGTAATTTTCGCATGCTTTCAAGTTGGGCTAAATTTTGAATTCGCTTGAATCGCAAACATTAGGGGCTCGCGAATGATAAATGTTAGACGGTGCTCCGAACTCTGAGAGATGCCGCAAGGTGCAAACTGCCCAATATAAAAAAAAAAGTTCACCGACGTACGTTCCACTTTCATTGCGGATAAGGCTTTGAAAACGCGGTCCAATTCGTTGCAGGGACCAGAATGATGCCGAGATTGACTGCTTTCCTATTGACCAGTTTATTCCGCCCCGAGGGTAGGGCGATAGAGCTCTGTCTACTTCCAGTGTGTGACACCAACCTACATCTCGCTTTCTTATATATTTTGAACATTTTGCTGAACCTATACATGCCTTGCACCTACGTCACTTGATGACGTCGAACACCTGTGTCTACCATGCTGGTGGTTGACTCGACGGCCCTTCGCAGCGAGAGCAATGGTAAACTGCGCCGCGCTCGGCTGTAGCAATTACCCCGTATCCCGATGATCGTCCGATCGTTTCGTCGGCATGCCCCGCGAGACAGAGTAGCCGTCAAGTTAGATAAAGTACGAGCGGCAGGAAAGGGATGCGGCCGCGGATTATCGAGTTTGCGGGACGCATTTCATAGCGGCGAACGACGACACTTTTCTACCGTTGTTTACGTTCGCGCACGCCTTTGCATCGGCGTTTTCTCGTTCTTGGTGTATATGGCCTTCGGCCTTCGTTGCATAACACCGTTTTCACGCTTCGAGCGCACCTTCGGGGCTCCCGGCAGAATCCGGGCGAGTGTCGCGCCGCGAGCCCGGCCCGACTGCGATCGGTCGGCGGCGGCCCCCATGTGCAAGCTCGCCGAGCCGCCGCCGCCGGGTCATCGGTTTGTACCATCCGCTGCCCGCGATACGATAACCTTTGCAAGGAGCGAAAGTATGCAGGCGAGCCGGTTAGGAAACATCGTAATATAAACCCCGAGACAATGAGTTTCTTGTCCGTTATTTGATTTATCCTTGTCTCAGGGTTCAGATTATGACGGTTACATTGCGTTGTTTACCAGCATTTCGCAAAATCGTAACAATATTTCTACAAGCGACTCCTAGAGCCGCTCGTCAAATGATGAAGCCCGCAATTAAGCTTTTTCATTTTTTGGCGACACGGCATCCCTTCGCGTCAAAACTTCGTCGGCGGCATTTCGAAACTTTCTGCTCGTAGCGCAATCGCACCAATGCCGAAAATTTCCGCACGTACTAGATAAACGTCATTATCGTAACCTCAGCACGTTTTTCTACGTTCACGGTACCTTTGTTGAAAATATGGTGCATGTTAGCGCATGTCCGGGCCGTTAGCGTCATCCTACGCCTTGGTAAGCGCATCCCCGCGCTGTGAAGTCAACCACCAGTATGGTGCGGGGCCCTGTCCTTCCCTAGATGTTCCCTAGTGTGACGTCACTTGCAAGGCATGTAACTGTTTTACTACCACCGACATGGTCCCTCGAAGAAATTGCGAACAGGCACAGCGCTAACAGTCTCTAAAGCATGTTCATCCACACAACTGCCTGCAGAAATCTTTTGGGGTATTGTAAAAGGGCAGACAACGATTGAAAATGATCTCCTTCCCATACGAAAAAGCCAGACGTGGCGGCGTCTCACATCGTGTCTCGTCGTCGGAATCCGGCACAAGCTTTTGCCACTGTCTGCGCGTATTGTGCACTTGGTAACACTACAGCCCGTCATTTTCACGGGGCTCTCTCTACGCGCATGCAAAATTTAAGGCGGCAAACGACGTAGCAGCTGACGAAAACGCCCCACGCTTTCAAACGAGAGCTCGGCGACTCGCCAAGATGGCCGGATGTGCCGGTCGCGTATCGGTATCGCGTATCACTCCGCGAGAGCAGCAGACGCGGGGAACGCGATCGCCGTCCGTGTCGTCTGCTTCACATACCCTGAAAACGAATGTCCCAGAACATCGCTCACATTATAAAAAAACGGGATTCTACTGTACCCAGTTGATACACATAATGTTCAATGACTTAGGAAGCTTTCAGTTTGTTCGATTTTCGTCTAGGATCTATATTTTGCGAACGCAAAGCGGAAAATATGTTCCCCCCGAAACTCGGCGTTCTGGAAGGCCGCTTTCCCGCACGAACGTCGGCTCCAGTTCTGCGCACGTGACCACTCCTCCGCCAATACGGAGATGGCGGCGAAAGGAAAAGGAACGCGCTACTCTGGCTCTGCAAACAGATAAAGTCACTGCCCCCGATCCAGTGACTTTACAAGCAGACACCGACACCCGGGCTTGGCGTCACGGAGCTGCGGCGGCGCTGCAATCGCGCCGGAGCCGGGGGGTGTGGGCAAAAGCGCGTACGTTTCGCATGGGCGTCATAGCATTTCTGCATGCCGCGAAGCTGTGTTGCCGTTAATTGCACCGAAATGTAGAAGAAAAGCAGCGGAGTAAGTGTCCACAAGTTCCCGGCAGACTCTGAAAGGCATAGAGGTAAATAATATCCGTGGATGAAAAAAAAAAAAAAAGAAAATGGTCGGCTCGCGCGAACGACCGTTTGTGCGGCAAACACTTTCTTCGAGGCAAGTGCGGCTTCCATTTCAATCTCCGTCCGGAGGCTTGCTTATGTGCAAGGAAACCGTTGTCTGATCGAGACCACCCGCATTTTGTTCCCATGGTGTGCGCGCACAAAGCATCGGCCAAGCGCTCGTCCGATGCTCGCTACGCCCGTGCTATCCAGCAGAAGGGGATCGGCGACAGAACGGCAGTGTTTGTAGGCGTTCCCGAAAAAAAGTAACGAAATACGTCACTCGTTAATTGCAAATAAAAGGTACGCGTTACTGAGCTACGTTACCTAAAAATAAAAGGAACGCGTTACCGCTACCGATAAAAAGTAAGGCACGTTACTTCTGCGTTACTTTTTAAATTGGGATTTAACAGATTTTGCCGTTTTGACGATACAGGCCATATATCAAGAAACATTATGTTTATGCAGAAACTGAACATAATTACTTTCTCTTTTTACGGTTTCACCTAAAT